TCTCATAGCAGATAAAGATTTGTAGCATATATGATAAACATGAGTGAAAAAACATTATTCAGTCAATAACCTTGATTATAAAACCTTATTATTAATCCTTTATCTGATATTTTGTTTGATTTTGAATCGGAACTATTGACTTTAAAAAGTTTACAGTTCTAATAATAGAATTTACTTGATGTTAAATAACAGTGTAATAAGTATTTGGGAGCTTTTTTGCCTTAAGTATTGGAATGGTAAAAATGTTAGAAAATTATGTGAAAATAAATCTTATAAAGAGAACTCTGCTGTAAGTTATCTGTGTACTTTGTCACTTTAAGGACAGAAAATAACATATTAATAATATTATTAATTCAATCAGATTAATCGTTAGTTAAAGTCTTCCATATTTGCTTGTTTAAGTAATGCTTCAAAATGTATTTTAATAATTTTATTAAAAATACAGCAATTTGTAGAAATTAATTTTCATATACATTAAAGAGATATTACTATCCTATATATTAATCCTCAAATATCTTCAATAAATTTGCCTATTTTCTTTTTTATTATGGTGTTTTGCCTTTATAACTAAGAAAACACGATTTATTAATTTTAAATATTTTTGGAATATCTTGTCGCTTTTTAGAATAGGACTAAATGAGGTCATGTGATCAGAATTATCTGAGTAGTAGTAGTCATAATTTTACCCAATTTAACTAGTGCAATTTCTTTTAATAATTGTAAATTAAACATCGTAAGTCATATTAGCGGTTGATAAGTTATAATTTTGTATTATTTATATTAATTAATTCTTTACTATAACAAGCAGTGATTCTTGGAGAATGCTTTTACCCCTCATATCAGTCTTAAATAAGTGTTATTTTCACTTTTATGTATAAAAATAAATATATAATCTTAAGAAAAACTTGGTTTTGAAGAACGTCTCAGCGATGTTTATTGTAACATAAACTTTCATTTCAAAGGAAAAGCTGACTGGTAGGAATTCGTAATATGGTATCATCTGAAACCGAAGGAGAATTGCCAGACATGGAAGACTGCTGTATTATGCTGCAAAGTTCTAGGCTCACAAAGAGTATTGATTTCCGCCCTGTTAATGTTTGTCCCAGAATAGACGCATGCTTAGAAAAGTTTCATCGGGATCGTAGGACAGTTAGCTGAGGACTCCTTTTTATAATACAACTGTATTACCTACGTGACAATCCTCCTATTTCCGATGAGACCAGATCATGAATTCCTTCCAAACAACTTTTTCTGTGAAATAGAAAATTATATCACAATAAATTTGGAATATTTGAAAGATTATGCTATACATCAATTATATTTATCTATATCTCTAAGTATATTTCAACTAAGATATGAAGACCAAGATGGTGTGGCATTAAGTATGGTCGCGGACTCAGTTAGTTGGGATGGAATGTTTTCTGATTATAGTCATATTGACAGGAAAGTTTAGAGGAACGAACCTCGTCCACAACTCATATTATGAATGATGATTTCCAGAGTATGTATATTTGAATTCGAATTGGCGAAATTTTGTTTCATTAGTTTACTATTTATTAAATTCGACCTTAAAGAAGCTGTAGAATGTATTATTAATATCCTTAATAAAAGATACTTTGAATTAATGTGTGTATTAAAGGAAAAACTTGGTTTATTGCTTGTATGACAATTAATTTTAGTTAATTTGCCTTAGAACCTGTGTTATATATTTTTTACTTTATTTTAGGTAGTAACTCATTACGAAAGAGCCGTCATATTTCGTCTCGGCCGTCTAGTGTCTGCCGCTGCTCAGGGTCCAGGACTTATTTTTATCTTGCCATGTCTTGATTGTCATCGAGTGGTGGATTTGCGAACATTCACTTTTGATGTGCCTACACAGGAGGTTCTGACAAAGGATAGTGTGACAGTTGCCGTGAATGCAGTCGTCTATTACAGAGTCAGGGACCCTGTTCGCGCTGTGGTAAATGTTGAAGATGCAAATCGATCAACTCGTCTATTGGGCCAAACAACATTACGCAACGTGCTAGGGACAGTCAGTTTAGACCAGTTATTAACTGCCAGAGAGGATATTGCAGCACTCATGCAGGTAAAACTGCTTGCCATTTATCCAAAAATATTGATACTGAATGCCTGAACATCTATTTTAAATATAAGACTATTGAAAATACAAATAATAATATTACTTAAGTGCTTTCTAGTTTATTAAGATGCTCTTGAAGTAATTAAGTTGATTTATCAGTTTAAAACTTATCATTATGAAATATTCTAATAAGATATGACTATTTTTAATAGAGGCAAAATATCAAGTTAGAATTAGAACTAAAATTTAATAATAGCATTTAGGGTTAAATTTTCCCTAATATTTGATATGGTTAAACTCTATTCAACTACACAATTATTTTATGCATATATATTTAAAAAACCTGAAGTTATTAAGAAGGTTTTTATTTATTAAAATATAATTTAATTTGATTTAAGGCTATTAAAATCTAAAAACTGTAATTTACAAAAATAAATTACTTTGAGGTTATAGTAAATAGGAAAATTTAGTTAAAAAATTTACTTTTAAACGTTAAATTTACACCTCAAAAAAGTATATATGGTGAAGTATTAAATTGTTCTTGAACTCAAATTTTGTTTGATTTAAATGAATTTACTTGGATTATATAATGAAAATGCTATCCACCTACCCAATATTTATGTTCATGGATATTAAGTCTGGATTAAAGTAGTATGTAGGCAGGTTCCTCATTCCCGATGATTTTCACAAACTCCAGTGTATGGCTGACAAGAATTCACAGAAAGTCCATGATTTGATAAATACGCGGCGAAGCAAGTTATTGCTTAGATATGGGATAATAAGACAGCACAGAATTAAGTCAAACCGACCAAATCATGATGTTCCGGTATTAACGGCATCCACTACTCCGAAGAACGATATGCATAAGGTAGTGGACGAATTTCTCACTTTTATAAACAACTTGATAAAAGAATTAAATTCGCAATAGACTTGGATGAGGATAAAGGACTACCCATCCTAGATGTTGAGGTCATTCGCTCTAACGAAATACTCAAGAGGAGACTATTCAGAAAGAAATCAGATGCTGAAATAATCCTCAATTTCTGGTCTCATTACAACTACAGAATGAAGATCGGAATAATGAATAGTATGATCATCAGAAGCTTAAGACTAACAGGCACTGAATTCTGAAAGAAGGAGTAGGAGAAACTGACTCAGGTTTCCCTTAGTAATGGGTACGACAGATTATTTATTTAAATAAATATAGTGGTTATAATGAGCCGATTTCAACTAGGATCTTATAAAAATATGATCAGGAAACGGGAGGACGAGTAAAAGTTAATATGTTAGCTCTCCTGTGAACTGATCCAGAAATTCCAATCGTTGCTAAGATAGTAGAATATCAAAGTGATAATAAGAGGAAAGATAGCATTCTTCGCTAGCATACGAATCAAGAAAGACCAAAGACTCTACAGAAACATGGACACTGAATTATCCCAAATATCAGAACATATCGCACGGACAGGACACAAAATCGAGTGTAAATCGGCAAAAAGCTGGCTGCATATGGTGGAAATACAAGAAAACGCAAGATACGAGAAGCCATTGATATCCTGACTAAAAGGAATCTAATGAACAGAAG